TTGGGTGCCCGATCTATACCACCGATAGCTTGGTCTTCACGGGCCGTATCACAGAGGAGGCGCGCCGGCGTCAGCCGGCGAGCCGACTGGTATCGAATGCATTTACGACGACCGGTGGTTAAGTGCATGGCTGCCGATGCACTGAAGCTCAGTAAAAGTAGGCAGCTCGTGCTTGAAGGCACGCACAGCCCACTGTGGACGGGTCTCTATACACCACAGACGCACTCAACCTTCGCTGTATGTTTCTTTTCTCCAACGACTTTTTGTGATCCCTAAAGTCACTCAGGTCCGAAATATAAAACCTCGTAGCAAGCACCGCCCATCTCGAGTACATCCCTTTTGAGGATGTCTACCCCATTTCATCCACTAACCCCTTGTGACCTTCAGTCCACATGTCCCCGGTGCATATGCTGCTCTGCAAGCAACTCGTGAATTTTTGACTTTTGCCCCTCCCACCTCGACACCTGCTTCGCCCACAATGGGCGTGTCTATCTCACTTCAATGGCCGAGGACTTGCACACCTCTGCTCACCTTTTGCCGGTGTCTGGACTGCTCTGGGAACGTTTCAGTCTTTTTCGTTTGGCTCCGCCCAGCTCTCCTCACGCTCCGCCCACAACGGGTGTGCCTCGTACTTCTCAACAGGTGACCCACCGCTGACATTAATCCACTTTTTCCCGGTGTCTGGAGTGATCTGGAAACGCTGCATGAATTTTGAGGTTTGGCTCCGCCACCCTACTGCTTGCTACGCCCACTACAGGTTGCCTCGCACTTCTCAACGGGGACGCATCGCTGAAATTAATCCAGTTTTTTCCGTTGTCTGCAGTGTTCTGGAAACGTTGTATGAATTTGGAGGTTTGGCTCCACCCACCTCCGCCCACAACGGTGTATCTTGCACCTCTCAACGTGGACCACTTGGGACCATAATCCACTTTTTCGCGTCGTCTGTAGTGCTCTAGGACCAAACTACGATTTTTTTAATTAATACCTCACGTTTGAGGTCACGCCCCTCCCACTGTGGGCGGGTCACAGCACACCGCAGATATGACGGACTCTCCCCAGATGTTTGTCTTCGCCATGGACTTTTTTGCAATCTCTAAACTCTCTCGGGGACCGAGTTACCGACATTTGTGGGAAGCACCGCCCATCTCGAGTACGCTCCGCCCATTTCGAGTGTGCCTCCTTCCATTTGATGGGTCAACCTTCTTGCTAACCTTAATCCACTTTTCCCCCATCTCGGGACTGCTCTGGAGCCGAATTATGAATTTTTTCAGTGACACCGGAAGCACCGCCCATTTCTAGTACGCCCGCCCATTTCGGGTGTGTCTCCTCCATTTGATGGGTCAACCCTTTGCTAACCTTAATCCACTTTTCCCCCATCTCGGGACTGCTCTGGAGCCGAATCATGAATTTTTCAGTGAGACCGCACTTTTGAAGCATGCCTCGCCCGCTGTGGGCGGTTTTTACCATGAGGTTACGGTTGCTCTTTACATCGTGTCACATGCTCAACCCGTCCTTGATGTCACCTTTATTTGACTGTCCACTCTCCACTCCACACCTCTCGCCTTCCTTCTGGTAGAAGCCGGATTCCGGACAAGCAAACAAACAAACAAACAAACAAACAAACAAACAAACGAAGCAAATTATGTATAGTGGGTGATGGAAGCATCTGAGTGCGAGCTTGAGCTACGAATATATCTCTCTGGTTGCCAGTCGCTTATGATATAGAAGTGGAGATTTTGGAGGAGAAAACTTGTTGATTCAGGATTCAGGGAAAAACTTCAGTAGTTCCTCCTCGTCGAGATTAATCCAGTCTGAGTACTTTGCGATAGCATAACGATGGTTTCTCTTACAATCAAATCAACGAGATCGTTTGTGAAAAATCGCCGGAAAAATTGGATTGGGTACTGGTAAGATAGAACATCTTCATCCAGTGCACCACCGAAACCTTGAAAGTCGAAATTGTTCTGCCTGCTGATATTTGGGGTCCATTGAATCCCTCCATCGTTTGTATCTGAGCCTTCTTCGCTTGATTCCCAATCGGACTCATCACTTGAATGATTCACGCGGACAAACATATCTTCTGGGGTATCAGGGCCCTGTTCCATCACTTCGTCATCACTTTCAATCAGAAGTTCATCAAACGATCTATTCGGCACGTCCACCGTTGCCTACCTGGACGTCTGCCATAAATTAGGCGTAGTTTCCAAAAAAAATAGCCTGGAGAAGCGAAATGACGTACGTTGAGTTTATACTTCGCTGCGGGCGCGAGAAATACCGCTCTGCGTGGCCGCGTGCTGCAGCACGCCGGCGAGGTTGCGAAATATGGCTCGGGCACACGCGGCAGCCAGCGAAAAAACGCCGCGGTACGCAATGGGTTTAAGAACTTTTGTCTGTCTCCGCCCACCTCGGGTTGGCCCCACCCACAACATGTGTTCCCACATTTCTCAGTTGCCGACCCGTTGACCTTAATCCACTTTTTCCGGTCCTTGGAGTGCTCTGGAACCGTTTTACAGACCCTTTGTCTGTCTCCGCCCACCTCGGGCTGGCACCGCCCACAACATGTGTGCCCCACATTTCTCAATCGGCGACCCTTTGCTGACCTTAATCCACTTTTTTCCGGTCCCTGGAGTGCTCTGGAACCAAGCTACAAATTTTTTGAATGTGCACCCTATGAATGAGAGCAAGCCCCGTCTCAACACAACTGAGGCATGCCGAACTCTCCCCAGGTGTTGCCCTCCTACACCGACTTTTTTGCGATTTCTAAACTCTCTCGGGAACCGAGTTAATGAATTTCTCGGGAAGCACCGCCTATCTCAAGACGCCCCGCCCATTTCGGGTATGTCTCCCCTAATTGGTTCGACAACCCCTTGCTAACCTTATTCCACTTTTTCCCCATCTCTGGGCTGCTCTGGAAGCGAGTTATGAGTTTTTCCTGCGGCTCCGGCCTCGGCGCATGCCCCGCCCACTGTGGGCGGGGCTTACCATAGGTCGGATGCTATTTACACCTTGCTCCCATGCCCTACCCATCCCCACCTTGACCCGACCTCTCCAAGTTGTTCTTCAGGTCGAACCGAATTTCCGGACAAACAAACAAACAAACAAACAAACAAACAAACAGACGAAGCAAATTATATATAGTGGGTGATGATCACTCCCTCCAAGTACCAGGAAAGCTAAGCTTTTTTTCCTCTGGTACAATTTCACTTTCAGAGAGCCTCTGAATGGGGACGAGAAGTAGCGACTGGAGCTATAGCAAATGCACAAGTGGGATAAGTCGTCATGGCTGGTGTCATCGACCTGATAGTAAAGCAGTTGAGCACCCACTCCACAAGCGGAAGCAGGGTCCGATTAGACTGGCTCTTATGTGAAGGATCTAGAAGAGAATACCCATTTCACGCGGAAGGTGGATGCTCGGAGAAGCGGGAAAATCCGAGTGCTCCTCATTT